AGTTGCGCTGGGGGACGGAGCACGCACAGGCTGGTTGCTCGAGGGGCAGGAGCGTGCTCAGTTGCGCTGGGGGACGGAGCACACCGGCTGGTTGCTCTGAGGGATGGAGCACGCACAGGCTGGTTGCTAAATGGGCTGGAACATGCTCAGTTGCGCTCGGGGATGGAGCATGCACAGGCTGGTCGCATGAAAGGCTGGAGCATGCTTGGGGTAACTGGAATGTTTGGTGATTTTAGCAGCTGAGTTCTAACAGATCTCTACTGAGCAAGTGCAAACTTGACACTTTCCAAAGGCTCATACGTGGCCAGGTGTGAGCAGGGTTTCATAGAAAAAGCCAAAAGCACCTCCCTGAGGCCAGCACCCCCCACCCAGTCTCTGGCCTTTGCTCCCAAGCATGGGGTGCCAGAGGTCCTATGCAAGTATTATGGCTGGTTCGGAAACTGGGCGAAGCAGGCTGTTTTCTCACTCTCGTTTCTGGAAAGGGTTGAACGATTCCTGCTGGATTCAGCTGGAGGCAGGCAGATGGCAAGGAAAACCCCAGCCCGGAAACCTGCAGTTTGGCAAAGATACATGCAGCTGAAAACAGGATTCTATAATGAGAAGTGTTGGGCAACTAGCTATAGAGGGAGCTGCCAGTCCCGCCCTTAACGAAACCCTGATGTCTTTATTTCTCCCCGGCGCTGAGGGAGAAGAGTGCCATAGACCTGCTTGCCGGGGTTTGGCCTCTCCAGGTGGTTCCTGTGTGGTGTGAAGGTCCCAAGGGCTCCTGCATTGACCCTCCTGTGAGGCAGGGCCATGCTTTTGTCTCCGTTACAGAGCTGAGGCAAATGACCCTCTGTGACTGGCCCAAGGTCCCAGGGAGTCTGGGCACAGCTGGGATGAACTCAGCTCCGTGATGCCCAGCCCCTTGGCCCCAGACTGGGCCCTGTCTCTCTCAAGCAGTAACTCTTGGTGATTTATTCTCCCAGCTGCCACGCCGGGCGCCCCGCTGGTGCGGAGACCAAGTCTGGGCGCGATCGAGCCAGCTGCTCCCCAGCCCCTGTGCAACAGAGTGGGCTCCAGGCAGGGACAGCAAGTGGAGAATGGCTTAGAGCCGCGGCAGAGCACCGGGCACCTGCGGCAAGTAGAGAAGAACGCTGCCCCAGTGCCACGCCCAGCAGCTGGGAAGGCGACTGAGCTGTGCAGTGCTGGCCTAGGAGGGCACATGGGGACAGACGGTGTGCCACAGGGCAGAGCCACCATTCAAGAGGGCAGCAGTGTCTCAGATGCTCAGAATGGGGCTCCATGTGAGCAGCAGACACCTGCTAGCCTTGTGCGGATGGAGCACACCGGCTCCAAGGGTGGCAGAACCTGCAGCGCCCTGCCCAGGAGCGCCAGCTGTGTATCCCCGGGGCTGGATGGCCCTTTGCTCGGGGCCCTCCTGGAGACGTCCTTGGACTCCCCATGGGACAGAGAGGGCAGTGCAGACAGAATGCCAGAGGGTGGCATGGCCTGCCCGGGGGCACAGTCCCGCTGCCTGAGCTGCACAGTACTGCGGGCTGATCTGGATGCCACGCGGGAGGAGCTGAGAATCACCCAAGGTAGGTGCTGGCTCCCAGGGAGCCCATGGGTCAAGGCTGCCATCAGGGGCTGCTCTGTCACCAGCCAGGGCCTGACAGCAGGAAACAGATCCCAGAGGGGCTCAGCAGCTGCAGGCCCATTGGGCCAGGGCAGGGGAGAGGCAGCATGTCTGGCAATCAGGCCCAGGTTGGCACTGTTGCCAAGGATGGGAGTGAGCTCAGTGCCAAAGGCCCAGCCCTGGGTCCCTGAGCTCAGGGATTTACTCCATGGGGGCACCACTGGGGCAGCCCATAGAGAGACAGAATCACAGCCCCAAGTTGGCACATGCACTAATGGAGTAACTCCATCAGGAGGCAGTGATAACGGGTGGTTATCCTAGTATTTGGGCGGGGCATGGTGAGCGCTCTGCTGGTTCTCATCAGCAGGCAGCAGTAGTGGGCTGTTATGCCAGGGGCTGATGGGACTGGGCTCTGTTCCCAGCCCCTGGGCAAGATCCATGCAGCATGTTTGTCCTGCAGCTTCCACCTTGTATGGACTGAGCGGCACCCACTTGCAGGGCCTGGCTGAGGCGCTGGGCACCATCTCGCGCATTCTGAACGACAGGAGGCCGACGATGACCAAACCCCCCTGGGGTGCAACCGAGAGCCCAGGCATGGCTTTACCCCAACAGACACACGTAAGTGCCTGGCCAGACTAACAGCTGCCCTGGTGCCCTGCCTGGCGGGAGCACGCTGGGACACAAGACTGCCAGGGGCCAGCTTGGCAGAAGACACCGCAGTGAACAAATAGCTGTACTGGCTCTGACCTCAGTGCCTCAGCTCTCCCTCTGGGCTGCAGTGCGGGCCAGTCTCCCCCCAGAGACACGCTCAGCGATGGGTGGATGCAGGGCTCTGAGCGTGATGACCAGGGACACACTCATTACCTGATCTCAGTGCCCAGCGGGGGGCTGATGGGCTGGGCTGGGAAACTTCTGTTCTCACTCTGTCCCTCCCTGCAGCTGTCCTGAAGCCCAAGTGCCTGGCGAGCAGCTGGCCGTGGCCCACCACCGAGGAGCCCACACAATGTTTAGCAGCGGCATCGGCAGCACCAGGGAGAAGGTGACGACCTCCCACTCGATCCCAGAGCCGCTAGCATCAAGCCCCATACTCGCGGCAGCGCCTGCAGCAGGGAAGCCTTGGACAGGACCTGAGGGGTGCTGGGCCGGCTGCCTGGGGGTGTTGGGAGCTGGATCCAGCAGGGCCCGTGCTGAGCCAGGGCAGCTGGCGTCTCGTCACTGGACTTTCCAGGGAGCCTTTCCTACTCGACTAGCTTTTTGATACAATGTCCCCAAAGCCCCCTACTTTCCCCTTCACTTCTCAGGTTGGTCTCAATAAAGCAATGCGCAGAGCTCCAGGCCTGGGGACATGGTGCCTGCAAATGGGAGGAAGCGTCTGTGTCAGGGACTCCCAAGCACACCAGGGCTCATCCTGATCTCCTTGGGTACAGCAGGGCATGGTCTCAGCACCCAGCCTGCCTTTCTGGGCACCCACTTGGTGAGGGAAGCCCCCAGCCAGAGTGCCCCACTGGCTGCTGCTGCAGGAGGGAGCCTGTCAGGGGCGTGTCCAGTTAGTTCAACCAGGAGAATGTTCAGGGGTGACTTGAGCCCTGTCTGTATGTACCTACGTGGGGAACAACTCTACAGCAATGGGCTGTGCAGAGGGCCGAGAAAGGTCCAACACCATCCTGGGGCTGGAAGTTGAAGCTGGACTAATTCAGCCTGGAAATGAGGTCTCCGTTTTTAACGTGACAGCAAGGGACCAGTTTCCTGAGGGCCATGGTGGCTCCTCCATTACTGTTGATTGTAAATCAAGATGGGCTGTTCTAAACGCTCTGCTCTAGGGCTAATGTTGGGGCCATTCTGTGACCTGAGCTATGTAGGAGGCCGGACTAGGTGATCACAATGATCCCTTCTGGCCTTGGCATTAATGCCCCAATGGTCGAGGGGCTGGGATTAAAGCAGATGACTGGGAGAAGGGGTCATGGCCCTCTGCTGCTGCTTCCCCTTCTCTCCCCGCCAATTAACCATGCTCCGTGCAAATCCATCCCACACCAGCCACTCCGCTGGTGCTTGCTCAGACTATGCAAGTCGTAACAAGCCTGTCAAGTTAAGCATGGCCCACCAACATGTGTTGTCGTCGTCTCTGTTGTGTTTTTCAAAGCAGAGAAGCAGGAGGCTCTGGTAGCGGGGAGGCTGGGAAATCCCTCCGGCAGCAAGCTGGGCGTTTTGGATGTTGCATTAGTGGGGAGGCTGGCAAATCCCGCCAGTGGCAGGGCAGATATTTTGGACACCCTGTTGGGCGGGAGGCTGGAAAATGCCTCCAGCAACACAGCTGTGGTTTCTAGACGATCCATTACCCGGGAGGCTGGGAAATCCCTCCCCCGGCATAGCAGGCATTTGGGACGTTGTGTTAGCAGGGGGGATGGGAAATCCCCCCAGTGGCACAGCAGGCATTTCAGAGGCCGTGTCCCAGCAGCGCAGTGGGTGTTTTGGACGTCGCGTTAGTGGGGAGGCTGGGAAATCCCTCCAGTGGCATGGCGGGTGTTCTGGATGTCACTTCAGGTGAGAGGCTGGGAAATCCTGGGTGTATCGGATGCTGCATTAGCAGGGAGGCTGGCACAGCAGCCATTTAGAACATTGCACCCTGTGACTGGTCTGTGGTGGCAGGGGAGAATGCACCACATTTATTTCAGGGATGCCATTGGCTCCCTGTGCCAGAGGAGTATCACCCATGTATGGGGCAGATAGGGGGAAGGGACCCCTGGGGCTCTGCCAGAGGAACATCAGAGAGTCCCTTTGGTTCCAGCTCTCTCCAGCCCAGGTCACTTCCCCCTTGCAGCTGCAGTGGGTAGTTCACCAACGCACATGGGTCAGAGCAGGGAGGACACACCCACCTGGCTCTCGGCCCCACTGGTTGCACGGTGAGAGCTCTCTTAGCCCGTGCTGGGGTTAACGCCAGATGTCGGCTGCCTCAGAGCCAGCGGCTCTCCAGCCAGCACCTTCCTTCCTGGGGCCTTTGCCTGGGTTAGGGTCTGCTGGAGGGAGCGTGCTGGCCCAGGACTCTGCCTCCTGCTTGCCTGGCACTGGGCACTTGGCTCTAGGTGTGTGGGGCAGAGTTTAGGATCAGTCATTACTATGCCAGCCTGGCCCAGTGAAGGCTTGCAGAGAGATGCTCGTGCGGGCCTGTAGCACCCCTCTGGCCCACCCGGGCTTCACAGCCAGAGAATGCCCAGGCTGGATAGGCCACAGGGCTCAGACGGAGGGAAACATCCTAGTGCTCTGCTAACTGGTGGCTGCTAACCCCCCACAGGACTAGAGGAGCTGGAGACGTGGCTGGTGAGGGAGAGTTTCTCCAATCCAGCGGCAGGGTAACGTCTGACCCTGACCCCGGGTGGGTGGAACTGGGCAGGGCAGGAGAGCCCAGTGGAGCCCAGCCAAGTGGGGTGGTAGGCCTTGGTGTAGTGCAGGAGGGCCTAGCCAGGCATGGTGGGGCTGGTTCAGATAAGTGCAGGGCAGGAACTATTTTTCCACCCTCAGATAATACTTGGCTCCCCCCAACACCCCACCGCTGCTCTGCTCCCAGAACATCTGGGGGCAACTGCAGCACGTGGAGACAGGCATAGAGCCGCGGAACTGCTCAGTGTGGGTGCACCCTGGAGGAATTCCCCAGGGCTCCAAGCAGGCATATGAAGTCTGCACAGCTTCACTGCCTGGGACACTCCACCCAGCACAGACAGGTCCCTCCCTGACCCCCTGCAGTCTCCAAGAAGGAGCCAACGTGCCCCTGCGGCCCCTGGGGGGGGGGGGCACGTGGCTCTGCGCACTGCACCTCTGTGCAAGCACCACCCCACAGCTCCCATTGGCTACAGCTCCCCATTCTCAGCCAATGGCAGCTGCGGGGGCAGTGCTTGCAGGCAGGAGCAGTGCATGGAGGGATACCCCCGCCCCACACAGGCAGGGAGCTTGTCTTAGCGGCAGCCCTGCTGGGCCACTGGAGATCGTGATTGACTGGAAGATCCTCTAGGATCGACCAGTCGATCACGATCAACCGATTGGTGACCACTGCTTTAGAGGTTCAGGCTTCTCCCATGAACAAATGAGCCAGGGAAGCAGCTTAGCAAAATAAACAAACCTACTCTACTATTTACATTAGGAGGATAATTGATGCTGAATACTGCAGCTGACCGAATGTGATATAAACAAGTATCGCACAGATAAAATATTTCACTGCAATGTTTTCCACAGAAATTGAAATTAGGGGGTGTGTTCAAAAATACAGGGGGAGGGGGGAGGACTGATGAGGGGTAAGACTGTTAGGGCAAAGATGGGCTGTATGGCACCATACTGAAAAATGTTTTACAACCATTTTATTAGATTTAACTCATGTTTTTAAATCATCACACAAATTAAAGTTGGCTGTACAAGCCTACTATGAAGCACTATTTCTACATCCTTCTTGGTTTCTTGTTGTAATTTTGCACAACTCTGTTAATGAACTTCTTGAATGCAGTGCATTCATTTTTGGTGGCTTCTCGTGTGTCAGGTACTTCCAGTCCTTCATGATATGCTCATGATCAGGCAGAAGGAGACGTCTTTCAGAACACAAAATTCTATTCAATGAGGAAAAAGAATGCTCAACTGTAGCTGTGACTGGGAGTAGAATGAGATGAATTCCTACTTCTTTCATCCCAGGAAACATAGCATAAAAATTGGGTCAAACCATTAGTGATGATAAAGAAGAAGTTGAAATCAAATCTACATTCGTTCATGGGATGATATTCCACTCTGTGTTCAAATTCTCTATTCTGTACTGGTCACATGGCAGCCCCATTGCTCACTCCAGTCATCTATCGGTGTTTTATAAGACAGGCATCTGTAAAAGCTACGTAGTGGTTGATGGAATCCAAAAGTAGTAGTAGTAGAGATGTAAGAATCAAGTCAGTGTACTTTACTTTTTCAGCTGGCTTAACACACTTCTTATCTTCTTCTTGTAAGCAGTTAATATAAGTGCCCCAATTAGTCAACTTCTGAACTGAAGTCTATGCTTCTTCCGGGATGTTTTCAATGGATATTGCTCTGATTGATCCAAGTGTAGCTTCCAGTGCTGGACAGAGATCTACTACTATTGTAGCAGATGCCTGGATGGCATTGTATAATGACCCAAGTGATTTCAACGGTAGACTTACAAGAGAGAATGGCGCTTGTGTTCTCTGAAGTTAATAGCAAAAGTAGTCCACCAGCCTCACTACTTAGATCTGTCCCATCTCAGTAGATACTTTCCAAAGCAAATAATAATGGTTGCAGTAATTTTAAGACAACAGCCAAGGATCGCTCATGAGAAAGCCAGTGGATTTTCCCAGGTTGGACTAATTTGAACTTCTGTCCCAATGTAGCGGACGGGGGGCTGCAGACAGGGGAGTTTGAGAGGGAGAGCAAGAGATCCCGCTGCTGAACAGGCTACCAGGTGAGAGTGAGAGTACTAGCTGTTGGTATGAGTGAGTTTGCTCGTCTGTTTGAATTTTAATTGTGATTCTGATTTCAAGTGACTTCAGTTTCAGTTACAGCTGCTGTGGCAGTTGGGACTGAGTGCCTGACCTTGTTCCCTTGATTGCCTTTGATTGGCCTTCCCCAGTGTGACTCACAAGGGGGTGGGACTGACCTAGACAAGCAGGCTTTAAAACCCAGAGGCAGAGCGACCAGGGGGCTGCAGACGGGAGTTTGAGAGGGAGTTTGACAGAGGGAGACCTATGATGGTTAGGAAGACCTGCAACACCTGTGCCAGCACTGCTTCTGTCTCCTCCACCTGCGCCTGTAGCCAGACAGAGCGCCTGAGCATGGATGCTTCTACCCAGATCCTGGTGTGGTTTTGCAGAGTCTGTGATTTGCAATTCCCACTTACTGACATCCAGGCTGGGGGGACCATCCAATGTGAAAGGTGCCTGCTGGTGGAATCTCTCAGGCAGCAGGTGGGGGAGCTACAGGAGGAGGGGGCTAGGTTGAGGAGCATCCGAACCCATGAGCAATTCCTGGACAGTCTCCATGTGGAGACAGCTGAGGTAGCTGTCCCAGTACACAGGACTGCTGACACACCACTGGTGGAGGAGGAGATGGCTCAGGGTGGACACTGGCAGCCGGTTACTTCTGGCAGCAGGCAGAGCACCACCCCTGCCCTGAACCCTCCCACTGTGGTAATAGGTAACCGTTATGCTCTTCCTGATACAGGAGAGAAGGAATCAGCCCCTGCAGTAGAGGAGGAGAAGCCTCCTACCCCTAAGGCTGGGAGGTCTGCTGCCACCACTGCAACTATGAAACGTAGGGTAGTGGTGGTCGGAGACTATCTTCTGAGGGGGACGGAGGTGCACATCTGTTGCCCTGACATTTCATCTTGGGAGGTATGCTGCCTGCCGGGGGCCCGTATCCAAGACGTTACGGAGGCATTATCGAGGATTATCCAGCCCTCTGACTACTACCCCATGCTACTCATCCATGTGGGCACAAATGATACTGCGAGGTGTGACAATGAGCAGATCAAGAGTGACTACAGGGCTCTGGGAGTACGGGTGAAGGAGTTTGGAGCGCAGGTGGTATTCTTTTCGATTCTTCCTGTCAGAGGTGGCCCGGGCAGAGACAGGTGCATCGTGGAGGTGAATGCCTGGCTGCGAAGATGGTGTCGCCAGAAGGGCTTTGGCTTCCTCGACCACGGGATACTATTTGAGGAAGGACTGCTAGGCAGAGATGGCGTTCACCTTTCGAGGAGGGGAAAGACCCTATTTGGACACAGACTGGCTAACCTAGCGAGGAGGGCTTTAAACTAGGTTCGACGGGGACCAGTGTGCAAAGTCCACAGGTAAGTGAGGAACATGGAGAACTGGGAGATGGGTCAGAAATAGGAGGGAGCGTGGGCTATAATGGCAGAGAGAAAGGAGGGTCAGGGCAAAACTGGGAGGCAAGATCAAATCAGTATCTTAGATGCCGATATACAAATGCAAGAAGTATGGGTAATAAGCAGGAAGAACTGGAAGTGCTAATAAATAAATACAACTATGATTACCAAAACTTGGTGGGATAATACACATGATTGGAATGTTGGTATGGATGGGTACAGCTTGCTCAGGAAGGATAGACGGGGGAAAAGGGAGGAGGTGTTGCCTTATATATTTAAAAATGTACACACTTGGACTGAGGTGGAGATGGACATAGGAAACAGAAGTGTTGAGTCTCTCTAGGTTAGGCTAAAAGGGGTAAAAAACAAGGGTGATGTCATGCTAGGAGTCTACTACAGGCCACCTAACCAGGTGGAAGAGGTGGATGAGGCTTTTTTTAAACAACTAATAAAATCATCCAAAGCCCTAGATTTGGTGGTGATGGGAGACTTCAACTATCCAGATATATGTTGGGAAAATAACATAGCGTGGCACAGACTATCCAATAAGTTCTTGGACTGCATTGCAGACAACTTTTTATTTCAGAAGGTTGAAAAAGCTACGAGGGGGGGGGGGG